TTTCCGTATCTAATTAACTTTACTCGAGCGCCTATTTTTTTAACTGCTCATGTGGTCTTGAAGTTCATAGCCGGAGAATGAGCTGCAGTTTCGAGCGGGAGGCTAGACTTTGGGGTTACTGCGGTCAAATGCATTAGGACTCAACATCCTACGTAGTGTGTTCAATATGCTGCCTCCTCGTTCTTTCCCATCACAGTGGACTACGGCATGAAAAACCAATCCAAACCAACCTTAAACACTCACCAACTAGCATCCGTACATACCGGCAACACTATCTTGAGAGTAAGAACGAGCTTGCAACAGCGAATGTGATGACTGAGGATTCGCATGCAACCAATGCGGATAGCCCGAATCCCTGCAGCCAACACCCCTGTAGTTCCGCGTTCTTTCCTTCGTATATCCTGTGCATCCCCTGGAAATTCCACATGGCAACGGTCGGCAACATCCCTAACCCGCCAATCCTACACCAGAACAAGCAACAATGTCCGGAAGAATATGTAATCAGGAGAATACAAACAGGTACTTGGAGGGCCACGGGCACTTAGTAAGTAGGTTTGTAACCCTATATTACAACGCATGTAGTAACCCTATTTATCCCCATTACTATGCTGTTTACTAAGTCCCCCTGACCCTCCAAGTAGAAGCTAGTAGGATAACAGAAAAGATCAGCTGGCCGGGATGCTCTTGTGGCCCCTAGATAAACCCAATGGATCACCTACACGTTGGCCCAACACAATCCGGTTAAGCCTACAAACCCTTCAGCCAGAATGAGGATGTCTCTTGATCATCCTCATGAAAATCACTGTAACCGTATGCCTCCAATCCCTTGAAATCTCACCTCCCCAGCTCCGCAAGATCCTTGCCTAAGCTTGAAACACATCTCATACTCTAGAGCCAAAACTACCTGTCGACCCTTCAGTCCTACTTGCTGAAACTGATACTCCGTATCCGTATGTACCCTAACCGCCCCCTGAAATATGTGTTCCATACAACTTGATGACCATTTGCTAGAAACACTTCCTAAATAGCGGTCCCCTTTGTATTATATGTAGGTGAATAGATTGTTGGGGTAGCATGGAATAATGCTCATCCGACTTTTTGGAGTGATCTGCAGTACTCTCATCTGGAAACTGGGAGTTCCAAGAAGGGTTGCAACCGGTCCATTTTCATGTCTGACCCCATGTGACACAAGGGTTCCTTTGCAGCTGCGTGGACAACACTGCAACAGCTACAAAACGCTTTTGTTTGAGAGGAAAAAGTTTCGAAGCAACTGTTTTAAGAGGCCTGTCGTGTATGTACCCATGCAATTTACCGTCGTTTTGATGCCGGCGCAAGTTGGGAAGTTACTGTGATGAGGCTGTCAAGAAGCAGAGGTTCGAACCTGTGGGAGAGAATTGGTAGGACCTCATCCTTAAAAAGGCCTAGCGTCTTCTCGACCGCCCGCGGCGGATTCGCCGGCTGCGACGGCTGAGCGGAGCCCATGGAGGACGAGGAGAGCAGCGAAGGTACGGAGGTCTCCTGGATGCAAGGCTTTGGGTTGAAGGTTTTGGGTGTAGGTTCTGGGTGTAGGTTTTGGCCTTTGGGTCTTGTCTTTCGGGATGACCAGGGGATATCGAAGTATTATTGCGGCTTAGATGGTTCATGTAATGATGGAGAGGTCTCCTTGATGACCCATATTCTGTATATGTTAACGGTGATGGTTATTACTATTGTTGCGCTTGTGGCCTGACAGCGCTTGCTTTATGGGACTTGAGGTCCTGGGAGCCCTTGATCAGCCTAGAGTCTGGAGAACTGGAAGTCTTTTGCCTAAGTTTGGACTCAGGGCTGCACGCGTCAAGTTTGTTGGAAGGCTTATAAGGCTTCATGGCTTGCCCATCTGGGGGTTAGCAGGTGATGTCTTGCCACTTTCACTTTCGCCCTGTATGAGAAAACTACCAAGTGCAACCACCTACCTTCACTGGCTAGGACAATTTCGGGCTGAGGCCACTGTGCAAAACAAGGCTCATGGATCTGGCATCTTGTCTTCTTGACGTGTTCGGATAATCTCACTTTAACTGACAACTTCCGGGTGTGCGAACCTCACCATTCCCCAGCTCCAACGCCTACGTGCGTCAACACCCTATGCACCAAAGCGGCAAAATCCTACATAAAACAACAGCCCGAAACCCTGATGCACAGAGTTTCCTCAGTGGCGGCAGAGGTGGATTTCGAAGAGTCTCCATCCTTTGTTGTGGGGTGGGAAATGCAACTTTCTGAGGCTAGGAGAAGTGAATACCAGTTCATGGGAGGCTACACAACATCCCGCGCTTCCGGACAAAGCAGAAGTCTTCTTCTTTGCCTTCAAATTAGCAAAGGCTGATACTGGATTTCAGAACTTAGGCATGGTAAAAGCGGAATTATCTTCGTGCTAAATCCCTCACCCACCCATGCCAACCATGCCCGAGATCTCAAGATTGCGGGATTTCGGATTTCAAGTTTCATGCTTGAAGTGTTATGCGGAGTTGGTTTTGCTTAGTTTCTTCATGCGTTCCAACTGCTCAACATCTTCAAAATGGATTCTGGACATCAACGCTGAACTCGACACAGAGAAACCTTCAAGCCTCGGCCTGCCCAACCCCCCCCCCACTGGCTAGTATCCCCCAAATGCCTAAATGTCGTAGTGTTCTTCGAATTGGTTGCCTCGGTAAATTTCGACACCAACTTTCGACAAAGCCTTTCATCAAGCTACTGAACGCAACATACAAAACGAACACCAGCCAAAAGTTTGCAAGCAACACGGGCAGTTTGGAGGTTGGAAAGCTTATATAACCTAGGTGGAAAAGCGAAAGCCTCCACATTTGTACGCTCACACTGTTCCACGGGGTTGCAAACAATGTCAAGGAGTCAATGCCCAAGGCCACTGGGTCAAGGTTCTGAGATAATAGATTAAAATTTAAGCTTATCCATTGGAAGTTGAAGGATTTTGTAGTATCCTGAACCGCAATCTTGGAACATCAACACTTGATTGAACATATGTAGTGCGCATGAGCTTTCCGACCAAAAAACAGATAGTTGTGTTCACATCCGCAAAACAGGCACTCCTGGCCCTAACCCCTCTTTGACCCAAACCTTTTGAATGTTCCATCTTCACGTTTCATGCTGTGCACCGATTTTATCGGTGCCACCAGGCACGCGTTCGCGAGTCTGCAAAACCTCAACCGAGAACCCAAGATCTGACGTTGCAACGGCTTAAGACTTAAGTAAACATGTGAGTATCTATGCTTGAGGACAAGACATACAACGTGTTCATGCCCAGTGGTGGCGAAACCATTCACCGTTACAGCGGCCAAGGCTAACTTTATAGACCAACCCCAAGTGATCCTTTATGCGATAAGCTCAGGCTGAAAGTCCTCCAGCCAGGCAGGAGGCTCCTTGCCACGCTGTCGTCGGCGCCAAGGGGGAAGCCCCTTCCTCGCGTTCCGGACGGGGTCTTCAACTTACAAGCTTCAAGACTTAGGCTGGGATAGTGTTGTTGCCTTTTGCTGTTCGCACGCCTGGGATTGCAGTGCTTATACCCTCCCTGGCTGAATAAACAAATTCAAGCTACTTCTTCCCCAGCATGTACCGCCCACATGAGTGATCCAGGACGTTTTCAAAAATCATCAATTAGATGGAGGTTCCTACGGTCGTGGATGCATGCGGGGATATTTTTTGTGACCTGGTGACGGGGCTATCAACGGATTTCAATTACGCGTTCCCTCGCTGCTAAATTCACAAGCATACTTGGACCTTCAGTATGTATAAATCTTGGGAAGCAACTTGGGCTTCTTCCAATTATCTACTGGCATCCACGGGTGCCCTCATGTCCCACCCCGACCCATGAAATATTGCAAGCCCAGAAAACCCCGAAGTCTTTGAGCCGTGGAGCCCATGAACTGAAGCTTCTAAAGACGATCACTGAGTTATATCAAAATATATTTCTCAATGGCAGTACGGGCACATTTAGTTACAAAGCCAAATGAACTGTGTAGACTTTCACTGATTTTCACGCATACTTGCAGACACCATTCCCAAGACATCCCCCATGCTCAAGCATTGGACCTGGGTTGTCCATCCAAGGTTCAAAGGCTTCGGCCGCTGAGTTGCAGCTCGATGAAACCTTACAATTTCTGCAGTTCGCAAGACTTGCAACTTTGGGTCTAGGGCTGAAGCAGATTGGAGGATTCTAGGCTGGCAAGGACAATTGTGGTATAACGCGTTAGGATTAACTCACACCGCTTATAACTCCGGGAATTGGGTTTGGCGTTGAACCAGTTGTGGCTGAACTATCTTGATCACACTGCTACACCCGCCAACAAGCTGATTCGCAGGCCCCTCCTTGTAGCGCTTTGAAGCTTCCATGCCCTGAGCAAGAATGAAAAACGCAACCCCCTGAATTACAAACAACAAAACCCTGTAATGGCCCCAAGTAAACCGCGCCTTCCTGAGCCTCTCTGTGTGGGGGACGTCGCAATCGTCAAAACGTCGGTCCCATCTCCTTGGTTGTTGGCAGAGCCCTGTCTCACTATTACGAAGAAACGAACCCGCAGCTACGACATCTGTACATTGCTTCCAAGGTTCCACCAAAGAAGCTGCAGCTGCCCCTGCACAAGCTCCAGGCCGCCTTAAAGCTAACAAGTCAATCTGGCCAATGCTACACACCTGCCTGCGTCTGAGTCGTGTGTCGACTCTAGCGAGATCGTGGGGGCGCAGGGCTCAATGCATGGCGCAGCACGAGCAGTTAGCAGCGCGATCACACAATTGCACTTCTCGGCCGCCTCCAATGTCCTAGAGCAGTTGCTTCTTGAGCGTTACCGAGCAAACCTCCACAAGGCAAGTTTGCTGTGCTTTGACCCCAGCCCTCCGGCACCTAGCCAGACATGCGCCTCAACATTGTTCATCACTATCAATCCCACTGCCAGCCGGCGCATTGGTGAAGCCCAACTCTCGCCTTTTGTATCTGGGCGCTCCCGTGCCAAAGATTCAATCTTCGATCTCCAGGCTTCGTGCATGATCTCATCTGCAATTCATGCCACGCATCCAACACAAAATCTGCACGATGGCCCTGCGCAAGAGCGATTCAGCGCTCGGAGCCTCCGCGTTTGAGCGATGGCTGCCCGAGCACGCTTTACACACAGACAGAGCTCCATGCCTCTTCGAGGATCACACGTCGGCATGCTTGCGCAAGGCAAGGCATTCGACCGAAGGCGCCGACGAAAATACCAACAAGCTAGCCAGTAGTCAAAGAAAAACATAGGGTTGCTTAGGATTCGTAAGCCTTCCACAGGGCCTCTGCGAGCGGCGAGAAAGCGGCAGGGGTCTCGGATATGCAAGGGAAGCCCCTTCCAGGAACCCCGGTCGCTTCCAAATACGTTCACCTAGCACTGGGCCGGCTGTGGGCGACTAACTTCGAAGGGCAGAGCCATACGCAATGTCCGGGCGCGTTCTCCGACAAACGTAAGATAGTTCCGCATGTTTCGCGCCTGCATGATGGTGCCTCAACACGGGGCCTGCGTTCGCGCTGGAAAATCACACTGATCTCGCAAGGCGGGTCGGCTGTTGAATCGCTGGCTGACACAGGTTGACGCCGGATGCATATCCGTTTGCCATGTGAACTGGCATATATGTCAAGACCTGCTGCGAAAGTACAGTGTTGCGTCGTCATCAAGTCAATTAAGATGATGTTTCAATCTGCGACCTTCTGCACGGACCTGCATACACATGAAGGCTGAGCTAATAATTTGTCAGGCCCAAAGCATGTGACTGCCCGTCCATCGTCACGCGTCCTGTGCAGTAACGTTGCAAGATGATGCACTCCATTGGTGAGCGCAACCCATCAAAACACAAGAAAGAAGATCTCGCATAAGAGGCAGTCGTCACCAGACCAGAACTCAGGTCGCTGCTGCTTGAGAAGCTGCTGTTTCAGAAAGATTGCAGGCCGACTGTATATGATCAATTTTGTTGTTTTTTGATAACCATATATTAGTTGGGTCCCCGGTTTGGCGAACGCTCACTCCCTACAGGCGGACTTTGAGCTTTTAAGCTGAACAGGCTAAGTCCTAGCATTTGCCGTCTTTTCCCTGCGCATTACTCTCACGGACTTCCGAGTTAAGCCTCAATAGCACAAAGCTTCAACATCCCTTCTTTCAAAGCCTGCTACAAGCCCCTTCAAGCTCTAAGCCTAAACGCTAGAACCTGTCTTGGAGACCCAGGAACTGCTCCACGAGGTGATCCTGGCCACCGTGAAGAGCGATGATCCGCAGCCTCAAGGAGTTTGAGTACATTTGCTGTTTCTGCCCACTAGGGCCCCTAGGGCCGAGGAATTTCGATGCTAGAGTCGGGGAAGTTCGAAATAGATCAGCTATAGGGCTTTGGGGATGAGACTTTGCATTTGGGCATTTATTTTATGGCTCGGGATAAGCAAAGGCACAGGCTTCAGGTCTTTCCAGTGTTCTGGGAGATGATCTAGACCCCGACCTTCTCGTTGAATGGCAACTGTTCATTAAGCGTGTCTCCCATGCGTATCTAACAGATCTCGTCAACGCGGAAGAGACTCTCAATTGGTCCAAGATGGACCCGGCGAATCCCAACTTACACGACGCAGCTTAACCCGTCTTGAAGACCACGGGATTCGCTGGCGCACGTACACTGCCAAGACCTCGCTTGCGAAAGTCTCGAACCATCGACCTTGAAGACTCCCTCAACCAAAACCCTCAAAAACTCTAACCCTATATCGTGCACACTAGTTTATACTCAAGTCTTGAACACTATACACCTTGAGGCCCAGGCGTCGCTTGAAAGCGCGACAGGAATTCTTTGTACTGCTCCTCCCCAACTGCCCGGAGGTCCTCCCAGGCGCGGAGGTGGGGTTTCTTTATGGAAACTTGATGGTAGCTACTTGGAAGGTCATGGGGGCTTTACTAAGTCCCGCTGACGCTTAAAGAGCGTTTGCGGGAGTATGTTAAGGATCAGCTAGGATTAACTTGGCAGGGCTTGGGGTTCAGGTCTCATGATTATACGCCGTCTGGGGCATGAAATCCCGTGGTATATGGTAGTTTCCCTAAATTACTGTTCCCAAAATGGGGGAAATTTATACAGGGCCCCGTATTATAATGGGAACCCAAATATAGGACCCCGTATTATAGGGAATTTAGACCAATCCCCAGATGGAGTCCCAAACATACCAAAGACCCGTTTGGGGCCGGCGGATTGGGGAAGAGCGCCTGTGGGTGTGGAGGTTGTAAAGGTTAACCTGCAACAGTGGGGTCAAGGGCCTGCTGAAACCCAAGTCCCACCCCAGCTCTCACATAGCCCGAAACCACCATCCCAAAGCCTCGAACCCTGAGACATATCAAAACCAGAACCCCAAAACATCAGGCCCAAAACATAAATCCAAAACCTATAATGGATTCATGGTAGTTTCCGTAAATCATAGTGGGCACCTAAATAGATCCCAAAATACTATAGTACTCACAATAGGGACTAAAATGCATAAACCTTTGTAGCCATGGCCCGCGCCGCGAGCTAAGACCTACTTGGAAAGTCAGCTGGACTGAGTAATCACGGCAAAGAAAACGGAAACCATCATAATATCTAGGGTTTGGGATTAAGAGCTTAGTCAGGGGGACGTAGCAGGTAGGGAAAACTGAAATAACGAGGGATACTATGTGGGTTCTAGGGGTGTTTAATCCCCCTGACCCTCCAACTAAAGCCCGCATCTGCTAAGAAGTCTAATCCCTATAGCCTGCTCGCTAAATTTTATCAGAAAGTCCCAGGGAACTCGCACGAGGCTAAGTGTCCTCAAGCAGAGGAAGTAGCTCCCGTCGGTCATGCCTTTGGGGGTGGAGGGTTATGTAGGGGTTACATTGCGGGGTTATATAGGGATAATGGAAAAGAACATGGAAACTACAGGAATTGTAGGGATTATATAGGGGTTATATAGGAGAGTTCAGCGTTCAGGGTTTATGGCTGCGGTTTACTCAAGCTTGAAGTTCTGGTTTTGGCTTCGAGGCTCATAGTTTAGGGCTTCATTGCCGCACACGGCTTGAAGTTGAGGGTTGACAGCATGGTCTTGAGTTGAACTTGGCTACTACAGGGCCAGCAGCCAGTGCCGGAGTTGCGGAATGCTATGGTCATTCCACACTGGAGGAATTGTGCAGGAAGCATAGGCAGCAACGTGGAAACTGTGGCCTACTTGGAGGGTCAGGGGGACTTTAAGTAGGTACAGAACCCCTATGACCCATATCATAACCCTAGTTTTTCCCTCTTATTTGTCCCCCCGAACCCGAAGTACGCTTCAGGAGGGTTTCTACTTCACAAGCGCCATTCTGAAGATTCAGGTTTTATGGAACACTTGCTGCGCATTGTCAGTCTCCTGTGGGTTTGAGATTCTTTTGGCGTTGATGCATTGTTAGGAAGCATGATGAATCAATAATCTGGAAGGCCAACTGCGAAAATTCTGCAGAGCAACTTCCAAATCTATGAAGGTTCCACAAAGGTCTTGTGTGCCTGTTTAGTAAACACAAAAAGACGAAGAAGAGACCACTTCGACACTAAACCAGATGTGCTTCCAGTACAATCCTCGGTGACCTTGATTGAGCCTCAGTAGCAGGTTCTCAACACTGAGATCCTTTACGAAAATACACAAGCTAAAAAGTAGTTTCCATGGTCTCTTCCATGCCCCTATTCATGGGTAGTTGGGGTAGTACCCAAGATAGATGATGCCCAAGACCCCCCAGACAAATTACCCGTTCTGCCATCCCTGAGCCATGAGATTCTCATAAATTTGGACTCCAAACTTCATCCTGCATTCCTAGACCCTCAGCCCTAATTCCCTTACCCCTAAACCCTAAACCCCTAGAAGTTGCGATTTTCTCTTATACCTATTACAACTTGTAATCTAAATCCCTCCCTCAGGTTGAAACATGGGAACGGTTTAGGATTACGGGTTTCAGGAATCAACATATCTCACCAGCCATGAAACTCTGAGGGGGCTCCAGTAAGAGTGAGCAAGATGCTGCATCAGGAGATCTCCGACTGCCGCGTTGGGCAGTCGCCAGGACGTCAGCGCTAGGCGGAGGGGCCTTGGAATCAATGTCCGGGGGCTGAATGACTAGGGGCACAAGGTTTTGGTGGTTGGGCATCTGGGACCGTTCTACCCGCAGAAAATGGCTAGAGGGAAATTAGGGTTGTGAGGGCTGCTGAAGGCTAACAAGAAGTACCAGTTTTCTGTGAGGGGTCTATCAGAGAGCATATTAGATTGTTCTGCAGCTTCTGATGGGATTTCGGGTTTTCGGCCTGTTCTACGAAATCAGGTTCCTCCAACCTAATGCCCCCCCTGCACATCCCTTAACAAGTGCCAGAACTGTGCTTCGCTTTCAGGCGTCTGCGGATTATGGATACTCCTACGCAGAGGCATGTAGAGACTCCAGTTTTCGCACACATGGCAGAAAAATGTGCACAAACAATCGCAGAGTGTCTCGGGACAACCGCCCTCTTTGCAGGCTTGGATGAGGTCCTCCCGATCCTCAGACAACTGCTGGCTTTCACGATTCGCATGCAAGGGTCTAGAAGGCAAGAGACCATGTATATATATATATATGTATTATAAAGTTCCATTTTTTGTGTTGGAGGGTTTGCAGGGTCCCAGTCGTAGGCACAGGCTTGTCGGATTGTACTGCTTTCGGAGTTAGGGTTTGGATGCAAAAACTTTCAGGTCTTGCAGGGATTCGCCGGTCAACGAATCCCGATGCTGTTGGAAGTTACGGGGTAAGTACTGACGATCCTCCTTGTCAGGATCCTTGGCTATGATAGGTATGAAAGTTTGGGGGTAGTGCAGGGCTTATGGTAACGACTAGCGGTTTGCGGTTTAGGGCCTGACGGTTGGGGGAATTGGGTTCGTTGAGGTCCTCCAATCCTCTTTCGGCGTAAGGTTGAGGAAATTGTCGGCTCAGGAATTTGATGAGGCCGTGTGGGTTTCTATCAGGTGTATACGAGGTTATGTATGGGGGCCTTAACGTCCCCAATGCAAGATTACAGTTTCTGCGCAACCGTAGCAGTGGAGTCGGAGTTCAAGACCTCGGATTGAAACCGACAATCCCTAGGAGTTCAGGGCATGGCGGATAACCGAAGAACCTCCAAGGATGAGGAGGTTTTTGCCAAAGATGGTACAGTAAAGGACCCCGGGATTCACGAGGAGTGGGGGCCGGCTTTCGGATTAGCTGGAGCTTCTGCTGATACTACCATATGGGCTTGCTTGCAGCGCTGCACGCCTTCATTCTGTGCCCCAGCCGGTCAATAACCCTAAACCCTAAAGTGATTGGCCTGCGGATTAGGGAAGGAGTGCCTGGAAGGCCTGGGACTTTGCATAGTCCAGTGCCACATCTCCCAATGCTCATGCACACTCCACAGGTTAAGAGACATGAACACGCTCTAAGTGTCTGCAATTGACTCAGGACTTCCTCAGTCAGCAACTGCAGCAGCCAACTGGTAGCCTCCGATCCGGCATGAGCCTTAAAGTGCCATCCCGCCCGACCTTGCAATTTTATCCCTGCAAGAACCTGCCACTAACCCGGTGGAACAAGCATGAACCCGCACTACGGAATCCTGCATTACCTGCATGCTACTGCAAATTCCTACAAATAGTCAGGGATCCCCTGACCCTGCAGGGCGGTCCTGGGGGATGTTGGGATCAGTGGGACCCAGCAGAACCATGACCTGCATTTCTCTGACTGATCTTGGTCTAGCTTCATGGGGGTTTATTGCTGCTGGGTCCTTTCAGCAGAACTCAGCATGAAAGGGTATCTTCGTCCAGGTTGCTTGCAAGGCACTGAGTAGACGGAGCATGACTGAATCAGACAACAGAGACGTCGAGATTCAAATGATCAGGAATTCTGGGCCTTGGGGATCTCAGCATCGATTTGCGTGAGCATAATCAGAGCTGTGAGTTTCAGGAGAGTTGACAGATTGGTGTCAAAGGTTCGCGGTTAGCAGGTGTAAGGAAAATCAGCTCTAGTACGTAGTGATTGACATCGTGTGTGCACTGTTGTGGGCTTGGGGTTAGGCACTCTGGGATTGGACGCAGTCTTTCGCTGGCCTTGCGGCTTTAGAGGTAAAACGTCAGGTCTGTGAACTCTGCATCCTATCCGTAAGGCAGTCTCCGTCACCTGCGCGTCTTAGGTTACAGTAGCATTACGCTAGGCTCTCTAGACAAATCGAGGAGCCCAGGTATATGTGCCCCCTTTCCCCACCACCGCCATGCGCTCCTAGGAAATGGCCCAGCCCTGAGCCACGAAAAGTATGCCTACAAAAATTCTGAAGCATGATTATTCTGCCTAGGCCAGACCCTCCAAACCGGAGGACCTGCCGGATGGGTTGGCGCTTGGCTTCGGAGGCGAAGAATCCGCGGCCAGCGCCAAAGGAGGCAACCTGCAATTCCCTCTACCAAGAATACACTTCAGTTAGAAGGGTTCAGGGTTGTAAGGGTCGGGCCATGATAACAAAAACCTAATAGTAGTAATAATCACAATGGCAGCTGCTACTACTACTACTACTACTACTACTAAAACAACAACAACTAATAATGTCTAATAGTAGTAATAAGAATAATCGCGCTTTCCTATGAGAGGGCTGGGTCTTCTGCAGGGATTTGTCCGTCCCTTATCTGGGGGGGAGTCAGAAGTACTAGCGGGTCATGGCCCCTCCTGCCCTGCAGCCCGGGCGCCATCGCGACTATAGGCAAGTATGCTCAATGCACCATGCTTCCTTGCTCCTTTTAAATGAAGCCCCTTCCCCCAAATTAGTGAACATCAGCCATTCGTACCAACAGCGGCAGCACAGAGAATAGTCACACATGGAATAACAGCAATCACAAAGCGTAGATGGCCGATGGGACAACATGAATGGTGCGATGGTACTGGGACTTGTAGGAAGATTGGCAGCTGCAAGAATGCAATGTGTTTCCAGGTAGGGGTTCGGGGTTTATGTTTGATTCTTTGGGTCTCCACCAAGGGTATATAATAGGCGTGTCGCGTTTGAGCTATGTCATCTGAGTGCAGGACTTGGTCGAAACTTCAGGAACTTCACATCTAGGCTGCAAAGTAAGTGCTTTGAACGGGGGTATCCTGCAAATCTGTCGCCTCAGCAAAATCAATTATCGGGCCACACAAAACTCTTGATAAATAAATCAACCCTGGTGGTGGTACGTGTTTCGGTTGCTCCGCCAGATGGGGTGTTGCCTGCATTGTGTCTTCGGATACGTTTCCCATATCATACGTATCCTGAAGCTCGAGTACTTTTCTCCGCTTAAACCCTGCCTTTGATCGATTTAGCTGGGAGCTGTGGAGTCTTATGTGCCCGCCTCCACGCCCTGTGGGTCCACGACCACCAGAACAGCAACGCCATCCTCAACGGTACTGAATGTCGATTGTGCAGGCCAGAAATCTGTATGAATAATTTTGATATGAAAAAAGAGTTGCATTGCTCCAGTTTGGATGAAATATTGCAAGACCTTAAACCTTTGATGGTGTAGCTACTGAAGACTTTCGCTACCTCATACGCAAGTCTGTATCATTCTTGAAAGATGGATTTTTTTTTTAAAAAAAAGGCCACGAAATGTCGGTTCTCAAGAAACAACCACTCCTCCTCAGCTGCATGGCGCGTGACATTCCTGGCGAATTTCTTCAAGTAGCCTTGGGCTGCTTTCAAGCCGCGAAACGAGAGATTCAACACAGGTTTATTCCAAGGGTTGTGCCAAAATCAGGGTCTGTGGGCGCAAGCTCGGGAACCAGGGCCTTTGAATTACGGTTGACTTGGGATAGGTTGAAGAGTAAGCTTTTGGCGGCCTAAGGCTGCGGGCTGTCGCGGTTGCACGTGTAGCTTACGTCCTGGATTCAAGATTGGGAGGCCGGAGGTTTTTCACTTGTCTGCTTTGAACCATGGAGTTTGAACCAAAAAATTCAAATGTATTCTACAAAACGCCGCCATGGTGGGTTTAGCGCGGCCTTTAGACTTTGAACCCTTCAGTGCTCAACTTGTGCTGGCCCTTTGTTAATTGCAATACGCGACGGCTAATGCCTTGTACAGTTGTCTCACTAACAATGAAACCAACACCCTGGTCGAACGACGGAAAAGAAATTACGCAAAGAAACAATATGAGCATAATGCGTAGCTCAACATCAGCTCATTTTTATTTCGAATTCCCGAACAAACTTGCGTTTTCATCCTGGGTTGGAATCGAAACACGACCTTCTTGTGAGTTGATTGCGGTGCGAAATCGTTTGACAAAAAACACCGGAATCTTGTTAGTAATGAGTATGAAAAATTGTGGCCCTGCAATCACTGACATCTAATTAGGATTATTACAATGAAATCATTATCTTTTGTGTTCTTGGCCTGGACATAAACGGAGCCCAAGAGCTGGCGCTGGTGAAGCACGTGTTGAAGCTCTTCACCTTTGAGTATCACTGTGTTTGCGAACATTCAGCTCCAAAATGTTGTTACAAACTCGAACTCACATGCTCTGGAAAAAAGACCTGTTTGAGAAAACGCACCATCCAAAACCTCTACCATTCTACACCTGATGGCCGGTATGTCACGTTGTTTGAGGACCGGTCAGAAACTGGGAAATTGTAAGCCCAATTGTTAAAGGTCTTCTGCCAAGCCATTGTCTGTCGTGTGTTCATGCATCCCAAAAGGTCTTGAGGTGTGGTCCTCCAACTGCCCCAACACTATCAAATGTGGAAAACGTTCTGTTTCCTCTACACATATGGATTCAGCGCAAGCGCATAACTGTTGGAGCATCCAAAGGCTCGAAACTCCAACTAAAAATCCTCGAGCGCCCCCTATTTGTCCTACCAGATCAAAGACAATCACTGCACTTAGCAATGTCTTGCTTGCTCATGGCAACAAAATCACTGATCCTGCCTCGACTCCGCATGTGCTGTCCAGCTCCCCACGCACCACCTGAATCTTGAAAGCAGCTGGTGTTCCGCTCCCAAGATCGGCCAGTTTTGGGTTAGGCGCCCTATCGTAAAAATTTGCCGACAACTGCTGGTCATAGCGCTTAAGAAACCTGAAGAAGATAGCAACTTTGGAGCCACATGTTGAGGCGGAGACCCTTATGCCCAAGTCTTTCAGTTTGTGTAGCAGCTGCAGCGCCCATGCTTAAAAACCCCAATTGGCGGATGATTGGTGACTACACTCAAAATGTCCAGAGCACGAAGCGCTGTTTCTGGACTGGAAGCCGGGATGGGTATTTGAAACCTCCCGGAAAGGTTTAGCCTAGGGCCTAGACGCGAGGAAAGATTCAAACATAACATATTAAGCACACTAAGTATCACAGGCAGCTTGGACACCTTTGCCGTCAACTTATCTGGCCGAATCTAACCCTCAGACCCTTTGCTTGCATGAAACGCAGGTTTGTAGCGCACGTCGGGAAAGACTTGAAGGACAGTGGGTCGCAAGCAAGTTGGCGAAGCGACTGGGCGAGAAGCACTTTCACACAAGCCAGAATTGCACAGGACTGTGGCGGGTGGAATTATAGCTGCTCAAGATGCTCAAAGCCAAGCGCCCCCGAAAATTCCATTGTCTCCAGGACAACAGACAAGGACCTCCAGGAGCTCGTCGTACACCACATTGTATTCCAGACGCAGTGGCCTTGAATGACTGGCTTGCTCGCGCAGCCGATGGTTCAACAACAGCAGAACCTTGACATCATCAGGTTGTATGTTCACGCATTCTCCAACAGAAGGCGATTAGGCTTCCTTGCCGCCTACTAGGCGCCTGCGCAGCAAATGGAAGGTCGCTGGAGGTTTCGATGTTTCCAGAGCACATTTCTCTCCAGCGTACGCATCTGCATATGGCCTTTGCGCTGAAGTAATCAATCCAGTCTGGAGCCGTCTGAAACTGCTTTGCAGGGTCCCTCGAGGCCTGCACCTGCGCAATTTAATCAAGCTTCAACAGCCCTGTTACTACCTCCGTCTCCTAGTCGCAACACAAGTTTAAACTACAAAACAAATTCTGCAGACTAGCGGCACTGCTGGACTCCAATTTGCTGCTGAGCTGGCGAGGCTGCAACCGGCCAAACAACCTGTCAGCGCCCAGGCATTTGCTCAAACTTGGCTCAGGTCCTCGGCGCGTACCCCTTTTCCAAGTACGCATGGCAGTTGCAGACTACCAAACTCGAAGTCCACAACAGTCTGCCCGCTGCTCAGGAGAACAAGACGTCAGCAGCACCGGCAGCAGCATCAGCAGCTTGTGATGGACCTGCGTCAGAAAGGCTTGCGTGAGCTCTTGCAGAAAATAAGCGGGGGCTTTGCTGCTTGACCCCACAGAAGATCAACCTGCGGCGCAAAGGAGCAACAATCTAGCACCAAGCAAAGTTTGTCACCGCTCGCATACAGCCTTTAACAAAACGGCGCATGGTCAGACGGCCATTTTGTTCCACCGGCTTTGCAGCCTTGCTACACGCACGGAAGCTACGGCCCTAGTTGCGGACGCTGATTGTCACAGCCTTGGGTCTTGCACCCTTCAATGCCCGCAGCAGTTCACTGCCTGCGCAAGCCAGGGATCCTCTTTGAAAAGTGTGCTCTACAAGACGCCGCCTGCATCGCGCTGGCATGTTCATAAATTCATTCTTAGGCCTCCACAAGGTGCTCATTGCAAAAAGCAGACATCTCTTACTCTCACGCAAGCAGAAAAGGCAAGCAGCCTCCATGTAACAATCGTTCATCGAACTCACCACACCAAAGGGAAGCCGAGCAAGAAATTATGACGCCCGCTCCGCAAATCAGATCCAACCCTGCGCACTTTTTGTCCTGCAGGGGGCACGGCTATGGAGCAGCCAGTTGCCGAGCGCGCAAGCAAACTCGCACTTGTACGCCTTGCCAGCACTGACTCTGTGCAAGCTTCTATGAGTCTACTACGATTACACTGCAAGGTCAGGCATTACGCAAAGCTGAGGCTTAAAGCTTAGAAATCGGACATGGTTTCCAGCCACAGCAATTGGAACACTGGCGTGGTGCTGCAACCTGAAGTGAAGAGCTCTGCCGGACGGGGCCCCTGAATGAACTTTCTGCGCCAGGCACCCTTCAAGTCTTCCTCCAATATACTGCGAGGCACGCTGCTGCTGCTGCTGGCGCCCGGACAGCGACAGAGTAAAGCCTGCCTGCGGCTGCAAAACATACACGTGTGTCGTTGCTTGTTCTCATCATCTTTAAGTAGAGTCAGTCGCCAACAAGCTCTGACTGTTGAGAAACGACCCGCCAAGAATTGCCCAGATGAGGTTGGTCATACACACACAAGATGTCGTGAAATTTGATTCAGCTCACAGCCTTAAACTTGCAAACACGGAATGCGCACCTTGATCGTGCCATCGTTCAAGACTCATGTCTTCCCGCGTGATAAAAAGAAAGACGATTTCAGAAGCCCCGTAGTCAAACGCTGGGTCGTCCAGCCCTTCAAGTCCTTCCACATTCGATTCACTAAGCAAAGGACTTACACGTTGGCGGAAGGCTACACATAAGGCCGGGCCGATGAAACAGAAGAAGAGCCCGGCATATGGCCACGGCACGGCCAGGCATAAATGGAGAATGCACAAGCACTATAAGGTAAGGTTGCTTGGTAAGTTATTTCCGAGCTCAACGCTTAGATCTGAGCGCGCCGGCAGGTGGAAAGCAGCCAGGACAAGCTCAAGGAAAATGACGCCGGCAAGGAACACGGGCAACACCTGCAGTACTTGCATTTTGGGCTTGGCATTGCAGCGTCAGGGCACTAATTCTCGTGGGGCTTGCAGTGAACTGCGGGAAGGTGTAATGACGCTTATGTTTATACGCAGCTTATGTCTGCAAGCATGACTGAAGGAGTGTGAAAGTCAGGGCTTCCGGACTTCAAAGACCATCATGGTATGTGTGTTGATTAGTTGGACAAGATGCTTAGTGCTTAGAAGTGTAGGGGCTGGGCGTTGAGAAAGGTTTATGCTCTGATGAATCACAAAGTCATCGCATGATGCGCTCAAATCTGAAAGCACACAAGTAAGCCAATGACTGGCACACAACAGGTGTAGTGCTCTTGCAGGCTGCCAGCATTTGCCAAGTTCGGAGAAAAGTATGCAGTGTTCCCAACGTGATGGCTCAAAGTTCATTCCTTAACACGGCCCCTCGGCCCCATGTCTACACTGTACGGTAGCCAAGCCCGTAAAAAAACTGAAGCTCCTAAGTCCATATGTCCTGAATGTCGAACCATGCAACCGCATAACTCAGCAAGCTTTTAACTTGAACTGCTCGGCCACGCACAATCCTGAGGCGTGAGCCATTTAGGTCCCAACTTTCGCAGCCCTCAAGGTTATGTTGCTAAACACCAAGTATTTCAAACAAAGCGAGCACACACTTCAGAATATCACAAGTAAACCCTGAGAGTTCAGGACACCTAGGCAATGCGCAGGAACAAACAACTGAAGAAATGTTACAGGTTTGTGGCGTGTACTTGCTTGCGGTGCTAGTTTTCTGGAAGCAAAAGGACACCTAGCCGAAACCCCAAACCCTTTTATGGCCAAAGCTGAGAAACCAATGTTCCTCTGCAGCTGTGTGCCCCCATCGCACGCTGCATGTGGCACGAAGAAGATGCGCTCAAAGTGCTGGGAACCTGGCGCGGTGATGCCAACACCAATACCAAAATGGGGACGGGGCTATGGCCCTCAAATCTACATTGCCGGAATTCACCCCAAGGCTGCTCCTCGAGATGGAGGGGCACTTACATAACAAATGCCTGTCTACACCTAATCACAGCCAGATCTTAGTGAAGGAAATCAACCTCTCAGGTCTACAAGTTTACAATTAGACTCAAGCAATGCAATCACTGCGCGCGTGGTATTAGACGTCGTTCGGCCGCGTGACTTTCACTCCGACCACAGCCGGCGTGCCCCAGGAAGATCAAGACAGTGGCCGCCAGAGAGGACTTACACAGGCACATGGCGGCATGCAGAAGCTGTAGTGCCTGTTAATGACACCTCTTTGCTATTGTGGCTATGAAATCCGCCAGTGGTTTTGTTGGTTTTTGGCGCCTGGGCCTCTTTCAAACCCTACAAATGAGCAATCCCGGGCCTCGAAAGCCGACTCGGCTGCACAGGCAAAGCACCGCACAAGAACAATCCCTGGCCTCTAGGCTATCATCAAACCTATGCACAAGCCAACCCTGAACTCACGTTTTGGTTGAAATCCGCTAATGGTATTGCTGGTTTCAGGAGGCTTGTGCCTATACAATCTCTGGCCTAGAGGTTGCTGATTTCGTCTTTCGGACGCCATCTGGTGGAGGCTTTGCTGGTTTTAAAGGGCCTGGGCCTCCAGAACCCCGCAGATGAACAATCCCAAGCCTTGAGGCTATCATCATTTTGCGGGTCGCACAGGGCTTGGGCCTGCAAAGCACCGCACAAGAGCAATCCCTGTCCCCGAGGCTCTCATCAAACCTTTAACTTTAAAACAAACAACTTTGAAGTCGAGTTTTGAATGACATCCGCTAGTGGGCGTCTAGAACCCCAGTGATGAACAATCCCTGGCCCAGAGGTTGCTGATCTCGTCTTATGGACGACATCCTGTAGTGGCTTTGTTGGTTTGAAACAGCCGAAAACCCCGCAGATCAACAATCCCAAGCCTCAAAAAAACTAACCCTGAACTCGTGCTTTGAATTGCGAATGGTTGCCCGGGCCTGCAGAAGACAATGCGAGAACAATCCCTGGCCCCGAGGCTATCAACAAACCTGTAAAGAACTAGCCCTGAACTGGATGATGCCTCCCACAAGCAAAATGCTCACACAACTGCCATGGCACCAGCGGCCGTTGCATCATTGAGAAACGACCTGGTTTCAGCAATGAAACTTTCCGAACGGCATACGTACATGGTATTTTGGCAAGCTTGACTTGCCAAAAGCAATATACGAGTCATTTATTGACATGCTCAGCGCTGTCGATG